AATGAAACATATTTCTTGTCTAGTGAGAGAAAACTTCTTTGCAAGCCATGTATCCTTTTCAGGTTGGTTCTTGCTTCTTACCTCTCTTTTCTTTCCAGGTTTCATGGTAGGTATTTGCTTTCATGGGCTGCAAAAAGTTGACAAGAGCTACACAAATAAGACAATATGGCATTTGCCTGCAAGCTGTGAATGAGCCACCTTAGTGCATTTTCCGTCCTGTCATCAATGAACTTTTCTCATACTGCTACTAAAATCCACTAGTGGGGTGGAAGTATGAGAACTTCCACATGTTGGCAAGCAAGGCCATTCTGTAGCATTCAGTGTTCTGGAGGCAATTCTGTTGATCAAGAAAAAGGGGAATCCCCTTCAAAGCCAGCCTGTTGTACTTTCTAGATGGTCACCAAAATCCGCCCCAGGGACTAGCAGGCAGCCAGTCTCCCCAGCTTCCACAGTAACCTGTGAGCAGGGGATGAGATAAGAGACTGATTTTCTCCTGCAAGAAACATCTCCCAGTTCATGCTTACAGAACTGGGGGAGGCTTAGCAGGTCTGCCACTGAGCAGGGGCCCTCTGAGAGCACCTGGAGGAGTAAATCTCCATCTTCTCTCTTACGGGCTTACATGTACAGCAGTATTGGAGTGGTGAGTGTTGAGTGAATAGAGGGTACTTACCTCTTTTTCAGAAGAAATAAATGTTCTGTGAACATCTACACTGGATGAATACTCTCCAGCAGGATAGGAACTGAATGCAAAGTGCATTAGATTAGATTTGCTTAGAAGGGAAACTTATGTGAAGAAATCAGTCTCCCGCTTCACTATGCTATCAGACCTCCTGTTTATTTTCACTTGGTCAAACATCCGTTATGTGTGGCAAGGCCCCACTTGCCACTCCTTTGACTTTGCACCATCTCCTTCCTCACATGTTTTAGCTGGACTTCAATGGACTAATTTATAACGCTGTCACTGAAATTAGTCTGAATGCCTGACAAATTATTGTTGTTCATTAGAAGGCCAGCACTGATGAAGGTCAAATCTGCTCATTTTGATCTCAACCCAAAATATCAGGTTTTGAAGTGGTGCCAAAAGGTTTGGATGGAACCTTATATAATCCTTAAATTGTAAGTCTTGGAGAAAAAGGGACAAGAAGTAACTACTAGGCGTGTCGACGTGAAGTAGAAGAGTTGGGGGTGGGGGGGTGGAGGTAAAATGAGAACTATGATCAGGAAAAGGTTTTATTTCCCTACATTCTTCCCCTGCAGACTTTACTTTCAATGCATTAGCTTACACACTCACAACAAATATGTGATGTAAATTCTTTAATAAATGTCAGTTGTACCAGTTTTAGATAAACTGATGAGGTAAGCAAAAAAAATAAAAATCACACACACACAAAAACAAACAAACAAAAACTTTCCCCTAGCCCCAATAAAAAAAAATCTTACTGCATGCAAACAGGGCTATCCATGGATCCTGGTTTTCCCTCTCAGGTTCTTCATGATACTATCCAGAATTATACATTAGGTAAACATGTATCCTAAGTTTGATTCTGCATCTGGGAGAAGCCCTCTTCTGTTAATTTACTAAATAAAAAAGCTAGAAGGATTTGTGTAGGTATTTGTGCATATGCTGGGACTACATATGCTACCTGGGGATTAATACCCAAAGATTATGAAGGTGTTATGGCAAACAGGCAAACACATTTCTAGTCACTTTTTGAGGGTGGGAAAAAGTCCTTTAGTTCTGTTATTTCCTGAATGTTCACTGTACAGAATATGATACTTCAGGATCAGTCTAGTTGGTGGAATATGTAAGCAGTTGAACATTGTGAGCATCTCAAATATGAGAGTTGTTTTATGAGATAATTGAAAAACTAGAAGAGTTTGAGATAAAAAATTAGAAAGCTAATTATTTTTGTTTTCATATATTCATATATGAAGTGGAAAATAACTTTATGTGATGTCATGAACTGTATTTTTAAAAATACTTTTATTTTTATTACTAAATAAATTTATTTTATTTTTTCTGCTGCCTGTTTATTTACATTCCAGTCTAAGTTGTATCTTTCACCAGAAAATGTTTCCAAAGGTGAAACTGAAGAAACATTGGAACATGTGAAAACAACAAAAAATACCTTAAAAAGCTTTAATCATATGATTCTTCAATCATAGAAACAGATCAAAAAGTTACTTCACCTGTGTCATGGAATTTAAACCATGGGATTTCAGACCTGAGATGTATTTTACAAGATCTGATATGTTTCTCAACTGCTTACTGAAGATTGAGGTATTGATCTATCTTGTTGATAATAAATATTAAAATATTATTTGAGAACTAGAGAAACATGGATTATTCTCAGTTATACGGACAGCATGATTTGGGTTTGTAATTTCCAGAATGAAGAATTACAATGCAGAGGGAGTGTTGAGTAGAATGCAAACATTGTATGCTGTGCAAGGAGCAGGCTGGTATTAACAATATGAAGAAATGATAAACAAATAAATAAATAAATAAATAGGTGTTTCCTGAATCTGGCCCTTCCCGAGATTTTTGAAGTTGCTTGAGTGAAGTGCTATTCTTCATATACTAGGCTAAGACTTCTTCATATGTGTCCATAGCTAGGATTTTTTCCTGAATGCAGCACCTTTATCTGTTTGTGTTTTCTTTTGTCTTGTTTTCAAGAACTGAGATGAAGTCATCCACTTAAAAAACCTTTAAAAAAATAGCTTTAAAAAAAAAAAAAAGTGGTGTTTTAGGTTACAGATTGGATGAGACAAAATACTCTACACCTCTGCTTTTAAGTCTGTGCCAGCAAGCAAAAAAAAAGATGAAAAATCTGTGGCCAGACAGGGAAGGTAGAATGTTGTTTTCTACTCTTGTGGTTAGGGTGGTTGTGTAGAGCAGGAGCAGTCATAGGTTCTTGATACTGCTGCCAGGCATTTTTTGTGCTTTTCTGAGCCTGGAAGCAGTTGTAGCAGGAATCTGGGCTGCCTGCTGATTAGGATGACCTTATGAGGAGTGGGAGATTCACTTTAGGGATCTGAGCTCGAAAAAGCTGCCTTTTAGCTCTGCAATTATTTAGCTAGTGTGCCTCTCCATCCTACCACTCTAAAATATTATCAGAGGGTAAGAAATGTAGTCCCACAGTGTCTGACAATGTCTACCAGAGAAATCCCTGAAAGGGTTTTGGGGTAAATACATGGGCTTTTGACTGTCTATTGGCAGACATACAGGTTGTGGGCTCAGGCTGGATGGTTGTTGAACATGCTTAGGAACAAAACCACACCAGCAATTTTTCAAGAGCAGCTGTCAGAGGCATCACGTACTACATACACCACTACACATAAACCAACTGGTACTGGCAGTTGTGTTTCCTGACATACAGGTGGTAGCCACACTGAGTTTACTATGGTCAACCTAAATCAAGGCTTGAGACGCCTGAGGAAGGCTGAGTGGAACAGAGAGCCCTGCCTTGCAGGAGCAGGTCCCCTAATGAGGAGGAGGCAGCTGGGTTGTAGGTCACAACTGAGTCTAGATGTCTACAGACCACCTGTGACATGCAGACCTGCATCTGCTTGATGAACCTGTGACTGTTTCGCTGCTGAATAGTTGTTGCACATTTCTAAGCACACTAGGAACCAGTTATTTCCATCCCTTTGGGGCACAAAACAATTACTTCATTCAAGTGAAATCGGAGACCATAGAAATTAATTTGGCACATGTTACAAAGGAGGTTAGAGTGGGTTTACTTTTACTCATCTTAGAAAGATTTATGTTTAATTTTCAGAGCAGCATTAAGTGAAGGGCTATGTTAATAAATCATGTTTATACTTGAAAGTATGTTTATTACTGTTTACTCACTTTAGTTCAGACCTTTTAAAACTTAATCTGATAAAATTAAAATAGAATTAAATTTGTATGTACTATAGGACAATTCATTTCCACTTGTGTTTTAATCTTATAAGTAACTCAGCCAGGATAAACCATTGCTGGAATTACCTGTTACTCTATCACTTTTTTTTTTTTTTTTTTAATATTAAGTATTTAAATGATAGGTTTTAACTTCTCATTCTGCCAGACAAGAAGAGTGAAAGTCAAATGAGGCTAAAACATTTCAAACAGCAGGATTGTTATTTTTTTCTTTTGTGGAAACATACTGTTTATTAATTTTTGTTCATTTGATCTAGCAAACTTTCATCAACATGGGATTTCAAAAGATGGAAAAAATGGACTTTGATGGAATTGTGGGGAAAGTTCTAAGTGAACTTCTGCAGATGAAGATTTTACAGAAAGCTGTGAAGTTTTTACAAAGAGAGCATACAATCCTTGAGATTACAATAATGTTGTCAAATTGCACCCTGCACATGGGCGTTTCAGCCTTCATATACTCATTTATTTTTAAGTATCTGAATTTGGAGGTTGTGGAACTGGGAAATTTGAGTGAAAAAATCTGGATAATGTGGAACAAAATCCCCCACTAACATCAACCAAAGTTAAAATAAATAAATATTTTTGCCATCAGTCAGTTCTGTATTTTTTTTTATTATTTTTTTCCTGAAGGGTTAAGAGATTAACTATATACACCAGAACCATACATAATTTATCACTTGATTAATTATGTCACTTGATTCCACTTGAAAATACAGAAACATTTAAAAGTGTTTGGTATATAATGTTGTCTTACAATTATAGTTAAAACAATTCCTTATAAGAATAATCATCCATTGTACGTATATTTGGTAGAACAGAATATTTATTACTGTTCTTTCCAGAGGTGCTTTTTTGTTGTTTTCAAGATTATGGTGTCAAGTCATAGCTATAAATAAATGTAAACTTGGGAAAGGGTGTTTGTTCTGGAGGATTTAATCTTCTTTTAATATAAATTCAAACAAAGCAGTACCTGATCACATTACTTGGCTTGGCACAGCTGCCTGCTGGCTCGAGCACCCAGCTGTCTTCAGCATGGGCTCTGGTCCAGCACACAGGATGCTTTATGCATCTGCATTAAACAGTGGCCACAGAGAAATGAAGAGCAGCACAGAGCCATCCAGCTTCCAGGTGAGTGCCCCAGCTGCTGGAACATTTCCTCAGACTTGTTCATGCTTCACCTGGCATTTCTGGCAGACAAGCAGCCAGATCTGCAGCACTGTAGAGCAGGGGCCAGGGGGCTGCTGATTAAATCCCCCTGAGGTGGGGGTGCTGCTGAACCAAGGTGTGCCCCCACACAGGTGTATGCCCCAGCCCCGCAATGTGAGCAGTAGAAGAGGGAGGCAGCCCTGACACCAGCTGCAGGTTTCATGGTGTCCCTTCTCTGCTGCTGATCCAAACATGCACTATCACAAGCAGGATTTAATCACCCCAAACAAGCTACTTTAACAACACACTTGTTCAATTCTGTCTGCTGACCGAGCTTCATTTGAATATTATTATTATTCTCTACTGGATGACCAATTATTATTTCTACACTTACACTCTCCCTCCAAAAAAAATGTTTGGGTCAGCTGGTTCTCCTAGCTGTATCCCTGCCATTTCCCTGTGCTCCTGAAACATGTGTGTACCTACAAGCCTTGCTGGGTTTGCAGAGATGCAAACAATTTGGAGATGGACTCAGCCTCTCTGTGAGTGGCTTTATTGGCTTGCGGGAGCTTGGACCTATTCTTTTTGGTAAGTGCAAGGAGCGTGTACTTTGGATAAGGTGTTATTTTTACAGGCAAATATTCTGAAACAGACCCAAAACTTAACACTGTTATTATTCAAATAATAATTATTATTTAGAAAATGTAGAAATTTACTGTTCTATTTGATGTGGTAGGAAACAAAGCTTCCATGTGTATGCATGTTGATTTTTCTTGCAAATATGTGACTTAATCTAGGTAATTACAGAATGGGTGTAAACCAGATTTGAACTAAATCAATGGCACAGGCTTAATTCATGCAGAAGCCTTGCAAAGTTGTTAATGCATTTAGGGTAAAAATCCTTGCAGTACTGTAATATCCAAAGCAAACCTTCCCATGTCCTCATACAGTCAGGATTCACTAAAACGTAACTCGAAGTGTCATCACTCCTTGTAAAATCCCTTATGATTCACACTAAATTCCTGATAATCCTTGCACAAAGGTACAAAGCTTCTCCAGAAAGAGGTGAATGGCAGCAAGGACCTACTGCCTCTTTTCTCTCTTTTTTTTTTTTTTTTTTTTTTTTTTTTTTTTTTTTTTTTTTTTGTACTTCTTTCTTTCTTTTATTTTCTTCTATGGGCACAGGATGCCCTGAAGAGTCCTTGGCTGTGGGAGCTGTGGTTTCATGTCACCCCTTCTCAGGGCTGTATGCAGTTTGTCTGGTTTTTCCTTTATCTCAGGGAAGGATTCCCTGCATACTTGGTATATAAATGGAAATGTTGCTGAGAATGCTTGAGTAACAGCTTTAAACTGCTAGTTAAAGTGTGGCAATTATCATATTTACATAGATTGTAAGTAAGAAGGTTGAGGTTAATATGGTTTTGAGGCAGTGATTCCTTCCTTAGTGACTTGACTGACTTGGTGCAAAAGCAACCTTTGTAGTGCGCTTCTGAGCAATCATTCTGCACAGTGAGCTTGTTGATTTTCCAGGTAAAGTGTAGCCAACAAGAATTAGATTTCAAGCCTGAGCCACTCCTATTCATTCATGTATGCGGGCTGAGTGTTGACAGAAGATGTAAAAGTACAATAATAAGCGTCAATAATTGTGTTGTTTTTACTGTCATTGCTAAAATATTTTTTCAGTCTCTTCAGAAAGTATTTACCTTTAGGTTTTACAGTATTAATCTGGGGCTGCACCAAACAATAGCTGTCAGTGTAAAGTTAATTTTTTTGTCAGAAGTTTCAAGGTTCATGCTGTTCAATGTATGATATTTGAATAGTGTCAAGATATTTCCAAGAATGAGTTTTTTATACTTCTGAATAGGAAATGTGCTGTATGTTTGGTTAATATGTGGGTAGACTTGCATGAAATCCAGAGCACAGCAATGATTTTGTTTGTGATGGGACTGGGGATTTTGACCCTGGGGAGGACCAAAGGAAGTTCAGCCTTTAGGGTACACATATGGACTTCTCAGATCTTAAGTGGAATTCTGAAGTGCATGTTTTAAATGTGTATCACAGCCAGTGACAGAATTAAAACTGAATTTCCTTACTGGCTATGGAGAAGTGTGTGTAGTTCATCCTGCCTTGTTCAGTCCCATCTATTTTGAGTATATATATGTGGTTTTCCTGCAGTGAGGTTTCGTTTATTTTTAAAGCACATTAGTAGAAAGGTAGAAGACTCAAACAAATTGGTTTGATAAGCCCTTTCAAATTTGCTGGTTTGTATTTAAATGTCTTCTTCAGCTACTTGTATTTATCTCCACACCCCAAGTGACTTGCAAAAAAATAAATAAATTAAAAAAAAATTACTACTTTCTCAGAGGTGATCAACATTTAACATGTTTAACAAAAGAACAAGCTTTACAAGCACGTTTCTGTTTGTGCTTTGATGTCCTTTAGAAGAAGGTGATGGAACTCTTCCTTCACAGCTAGCATGAGAATGCATTAATATGCCACAGTTTTTTTTTCCTGCCGTTATTATTTTTCCAGAAGTGCTCATCTGTGGATGTGGTTAATTACTATAAGTATTAAGAAAGTACAGCTGTGCTATAGAAAAGGACTGTTGTTCTGTTGCCTAGAACATGCGACAGATACAGATTCTTAAGGTAATCTAATTAAATGTAACAATGAGTCGGAGTCAAAACATACTGTTTACTTAGTGAGTTGGCAAAGTATTTGAGTAGCTTAAGTTTGATGCTCATAATATCCTAGTTAATGATAACATGCAGAGATAGTTGGAACTTGTTAAAACTTGTTGAGAAGGTCTTTGTTTAACAGAAGAGTTAACAGTAGCAGCATAAAAGTAAGGAGTAGTATTAGCTGGCCTAGATGGCTATTCCTCTTAACAAGCTTCCTGAACAAAATACTGTAATAAGTTGTTTTCCTTGAATATCTATATCACTGGTACACAGGTATAGATCTTGCATTGTAAATTAAAAATAATCTGAAATGTTAAGTAAATGTTTCAGTTATTAACTCAGTTTCTGTAAATAATAATCACTTAGCTAACTGATCATTGCTCATCAGTTACAATAAGGAAGGAAAGAAGGTCAAAGAGCTGTAGGTCCCGTGTCCTGCTCTAAACCCCACGGTAACAGAAGAGCCATGACTCTCTTCATTTTCACCATTTCTGTATGTGGAACTCCCTCATGTCCACTGCCTGTCCTATTTTTTTGCACTCCTCCTATATCCTTTAGAGCTTGGGAAGAGAAAATGTTCTCAGAGGTGTTGTGGTCACTTCGTTTTGAGCAAGAAATAACATAAGGCATCTGTTGGTTTTTTTTTTTTCAAATATAGGCAATAAAATTGTTTTGTAAGGCCTTTCTCAGGTCTTTTTACTGATCTGATACCTCCTGTCTCTCATGAGTGAGCCATCTTGAGAACTGTTGATGTGCAATTACCGGATCAAGGGGTAGGACACCTTTAGCGTGGTTTTATTTTTCACGATTCCTGGGGATTTTTCAACACTTACAGGATTCTGTGTGGTAGACAATTCAGAAACACATGGTGTGCGTTAATAAGCTACGTATAAGCTGCTTTCAGTTATTTTTATCTACTTCATCTGAGGAACAGGAAATTAGCTTGCAAACCATTTAAGTTAATACATTCACTAGTTCACAATTCAAGTTTCAGGTTTTTCAGAGAGAATTAGGTTTCTTGTGATGTTCACAAGAAGGGGTTCACCTATCTTTAAAGAAAATACTGTATGTTGCACAAAAATTGTGTTTTATTTAAGTACTTGTCTCTCCTGGAGATACCTTTGAAGTTTCCAGACTGGGTCAATAAGCTCACATTCTCCCACAAATTAAACATGTTACCTTCACATCACAAAGTATTCCACTGTTTCAGAGAAGAACTCAAATATATATGCCAGCCTAGCCTCTGTATTTTTGTTCCTCCTTTCTTTCGAGTCATAACAGGAAATGGTTAATGAAAAGTACTTTTGCCTCAATATTTTCCTTGGGCTGGCAGGGAGGGATACTGTATCTGTGGTCTCTGGTGGTCATGCTTTAGAGGAATAGCCTTGAATACTAAGTACTTTGGTAGTACATCACAAGTGTACATAAACTTTAAGAATATGACATCACTTGAAGCTGGAAACTACAAGGGCACTATGGTTCCTTTGGAATAAATGTAATTTTTGTGAAGTATCTCATTTGCACAATCCTCAAAGTCTGAAGTATTGTGAGTCCTCAAAGTCTGTTTGCATTTTATGATGTTCAAAATGCAGGTTCTTTCCAGGAGTTTCCAGGAACCATAGCTAAGAAGTAAAAAAATTATTTGACAGTTTGAAGAAACTTTCTGTTCACCAACATTCTGTATTTGTACTTGACTGCACACGGCATGGAGAATCTCATGGCTGTCATTTGCATCCAAGCTCTTCCATCAGCAGTGTGGTATATGGTAAATTGGGTAGCTAAAACATGTTTCTGTAGTGGTATATATTCTTCTAAAGCAGGAAAAATTAAAATCTAAGATGAATAAAGTTGATTAGAAACAGTTTTTCCAGATACAGATCAGGATTGCTCATATGCAGAGCCTGAGTCAATTATATCAAATTATTAAGAACAAAGTAAGCATGTAAGATGTTCAAACAGGCAGTCATTTTGAAAGACACAAGGAGAAATCTTACATATCTATTATCGTCCATGATAAGTCCTTCAACAAAGTATTGTGTCCAGGTGTAATCATTACATTTTAAGAAAGATGATCCTTCAATAGTTATTGAGGATAAAGAAGAAAAGGCTGAGAACAGACAAATCTTCAAAGATATTAAAGATTTCTGCATACAGGAAGGAAATAGGTTGTTCCCTACATCCAGAACAAAATGAGCTTAATTTAAAGTGCAGAAAGTTCAAGTGTAATAAATGAGAAAACTGCTTTATGGGAAGAATAATGAATCACTAGATTGCTAGAAGAACTGACATGCTCTTCATTTCTGAAAACCTTTCAGGGAGGGTTAAAACAACTTCTTTTGGAAATGGAACGGGTATAGCAGACATTGTCTTGGAGCAGGAATACAGACTTTATTACTCATGTCTTTTAGACATGCACATCTATGACATTGTATGCATAACAGTCAACTCAACTATACTATACTCAACTATACATCAACTTTATAACATAGTATAGAAACAAGAAAGCTTACTGAATGAAGGCATACATTAACACAACCATAAATTAGAATGCTTTTTTAATTGTGAGAAGGCTTGTTTGTTTCCTTATTCAGTGAAATTTAATGCTCTAGGAAGAGTTACATTGATGACATTGTGATTGATGGCTTATATAACACTCTAATGCAGTCTTCAGACTTCTTTTTGGAGAACACAGAAGAAAGTTTGAAGCCAGCTCCAGTTTTTCAAGCACAAATGATCCTTAATGCCACAGAGATTCAATTTAAATCTTCTCTAGATAAAAAGGCTGGTGATGGCTTTTATGACCTTCAATGAACTCTTGGTTGATATTTTCTTAATGTCTGCCCAAATGAAAAGGATAGCAGACCACCTGAAAATAGAATATTATCAGGTTCATTTTCTTCTCTTATACTTGAATCCAATTAATTGTAAGTGGCAAGAAGTTTATTTTTAGTTACACTCTCACTTAATAGCATGTCATGAAGTCCCGAGCCTCATCTGTTTTCTCAGTTGCACAGTTTACAGAAGTGTAGTCCCGATAATTTCCAAAGGATTACTCATGCATTCACCCACTTCTGCAACTGTGAGCAGCAGAATGAAGTTGTCCTTTTTATGTAAGGCTGATTTAAATTTGCTGAATGTTTCTCTCTCTGTATCTGTGCTGTGAGTTTCTATCTTGGGTGTCATACTGAATTCTGTAGCCTGCACATAATGGAAACTTAATATTTTAGGAAGATAAGAAAGGGAATATCCACTAGACTGATGACCAGAATCGTGTATTTTAAGAAAGAATGTATTTTATTCATTTAGCTTTGAATAACTTGCAAAAGATATGTGGAATCTTGGAATGCCTTGAGTTGGCAGGGACCTTAAAGACCATCTGCTTCCAACCCCCCTGCTGTGGTTGCCCAAAGGCCCATCCAACCTGGCCCTGAACGCTTCCAGAGACGGGGCATCCACAGCTTTTCTGGGCAGCTTGTTCCAGTGCCACACCACTCTCTGAATAAAGAATTGTTATTAATGCAGGAATCTGCAAAATTTTGTTTCTTTTACTTGTAGTTTGGAATAAGTGCTTCAGTGTTGAAAAGAAATAAAGAAATATAGTTGCTCAAGAAAGTGTGGGATATGAATGGTTATATTAATGGTGTTTTTTTTTTGTTTTGTTTTGAAAGGAATTAAAAAGAAAACGAAAGGTTAAAATATATTCTGAATGTTATGTTCTTAATTTGATCCCAGAAGTGCTTATAGATTTGATTTAAAAAATAATAATAATATTGAATAATTTCATATTCCTTTTGTTTTTGAAATTATAGCTGCTATATTCTAGGATAACCAGATTAAAAATATTTCTGTTCTCAGGTTAACAAAATTCAAGATAATCCCAAAGTAAAACAATTTTTGTAGTTTTACTTTAAGCTTACTTAATACCAATAGTTTGCTGAAATAGTTAAAATCAGTGAGTAAAACTTCAGAAGTTCCACTTCAGAAATGAGAAAAATATAGAAGGCTACAAGCAAAGCCAATTCACCAATGGTTGTATCTGATTCTGAATCCAGAAAAAGGGTGTTTGGGAAATCAGCCTTTTGAAGTTCTTTTACATCAAGATGTTGGTTTTCATAGGCAAGGTTAGAAATGTATACAACTTTTTTTGTTTGTTTGTTTGTTTTGTGTGTGTAGCATTTGTATTGCCATGAAGAGAATGGGGCAGTTTCCCTCACATCTCCCAGCTACCTCATATGGGCATGTTTAATTAAGTATTCATACGTGTACCTTTGTGGCACTATCAGAAACTGAAGTATTAAATAGTTTAAATGCTTGTCTTTTGGATTGGATTTTGAGAAAATTGATTATTTTGTGTGCTTTCTAGGTAGTGGTGGTATAGAGTTGGAAACAAGTAATAAGGTCCAGAAGGTATTCCTGCATGCTAGGCCTTCCCCCTGCATCCATCTATCTGTTATAGCAGATATATATAGCAGAAGCTTGTTTGTACCAAATGTTGTTGACACTTTTATCTGTACTTTCTGTTTCAGAGCATCACTGATGATTGGACTAAAACCCAGTGGAGACAGATTAATGGGGAACAGATGGATGTAGAGCTCAGAAGGTTTGCCAAGGCAGGTTCCATAGCTGTCTGCTTGTACAATTTATCTGTCTTGGTGCCACCCCTTCCTCACTCTTCCCACCCACTTTGATGTTTCAGTGGATTTGTTGCTCATGTCCAAACTGAATGTTCTGGAACATGTTTTGGTTTGGTGCTTCCCTTTAAAACTTTATTCTTCTGGCTGAGTTTCCAATCCATGCGGAGGAGCATGGTAAATCCACGTTGTCACTTTTCTGAATAGTGGCGGTGTGTGAACAAATAATGAAAGAATAAGAAATGACCAGATGAAAGTCGTCATTTTTAGAGACAAATGGAATTTGCAGAGGTTTATCTGCTCTACTCCTAACATATCTCCAGAGTAGTTGGGTTAGCTTCATAGATTTGGCAAAGACGCTCATTTTTTTTTCTGAGGGAAGGCACTTTGAAGTATTTGCAATGTGTTGTTGGTAGTAGTCCTACGGAAGAGAGTTCCAATGGGACAGGCTAAGAACAAAATAAAAATAAGAACAGAAGCACCCCAGATGATTTGGAGGACACTAAAGGAGTAGCTGTGATCCGCAGACAATATAAAACTTGAGTACTGAATTAAGAAAGTCTTGAACCTAATGGGTATATTTCTTCTTATTCATGTATGTATTTCATTCAGAAATACATAGGTTTCATTACATGATAACAGGAGTCATATGCTGTGGTAGGGGTAGTATAAGCAAGAACAAGACTGAGATGGCTGTGTTGACCTTCTGCCTTCACATCATTCACTATGGCATATATGTCAGATCATGGAATAGGGAAGATGCTGATCACTGCCACTGCTGGTCATAGGCTGATCACTTGTGTCCTGTTCATCACATTCAGGTGTACACAGAACTCTCCCTTATAGCCAGAACTGCAATTCACAGAGGGCTATTAAAGTTGTTATACTTTTATCTGCAGTGATATAATAAGAATATCACTTAAGTTGTTGGAACTGTGATGGACTAAATGGCTCTGATCCGACTGGAATTATAAAATCATTGTGTTAATAGTTATTTATTATTTAAAGTATCATATTGGAAAGTAAATTTTCAGAGCTTTTACTTTATCTACTGACTCCAATACAATCTTCCATAGACTTATGCTGTCCCAAACATCTGCATTTGAAACAGGAAAATAGAGCTTTCTGACAAATCTCATCATTTTTATCTTATCTATCAGCAAGGTAGTTTTCCTACTAATCAACAGTAGAAACAAAAATCTCTTTACCTTGAGGGTGGCCAAACAGAGGAACAGGCTCCCTAGAAAGGTGGTTGATGCCCCAGGCCTGTCAGTGTTCAAGAGGCATTTGGACAATGCCTTCAATAATGTGGTTTAATTTCTGGTTAGTTGTGAAGTGGTTATGCAGTTATACTATGTGATCTTTCAACTTCTCTATTCTAAGGTGGTTGTTAATAATAAGTAATTATTGTAGCTATTTTTATCCTACTCCATAGGAAATAAATTCTTTGGATAATAAGGTTTGTGTCTGGGATGCATGTAGAGGCTTGGAGTTAAAGGTGAACAATCTGATATCATCCTTAACGGGAATATTGGAGCAGCAAAATTCTGCAGTCAGAGAGACATGATACCAGGTCAAGAAGGTGATGAGAGTAAGTATTCAGTTAAAGACACCCCAGTAATGGTCTTTCATAGTCTACATATCAATGCAAAAGTACACTCAGGCATGTGGTAGTGCTGCTGCTGCCAACCATTCGATGTGGAAGTGGAGCAGTGATTCAGCATTCAGACAGAGCCATCTCAAGATTGAGAAGAGAATCTGTTGTCTCTGCTCAGACAAAATGACCCGACTCCCTGGGGGCACTCCCTGGAGGCATACCTGGCTTGCTAGATTAGAGGTTTGTTCAATAGGTGTTTCTCTCCCTGATGAGTTTAAGAGCAGCACTAAGCATAAAGGGTTCTCTGTTTTGTCTGAGACAGGAAATACTTACAAGTAATAATTCATATTAAATATTTAGAAGAAAAGTAAACAATGTGGCTAGAAACTTTCCTGGATAGCAAAGAGAAGGCTTCTTGATAATGACTGGAGGAAATGAGGGGCAGAGTAAAAATGAAAAGTAAGGAAATAAATAAGCCACCTGAAACATCAGCCTACTATTAAATTCTTTAGGAATTAGTTTTTAGGGAGACTATTGACAGAGGTTATAACTAATGTTGTTTTTTCCAGATTTTTGCAGAAATCAGCCAAATGTAGGCTGTCTTGGAATTTTCTTATGGAGAAAATCACAGGAACAGAGCTCCTTTAATAAAGTCAATTGAACATCTGCTTGAAATTCTAGATAAAAAACAAGTAAGAGCTTAATAGAAATACTATTAATATATCATTAGTTGTTCCTTTCATATGCTTGGTTAGATAAAAACTTTTTCCATGAATCTTTGTTAGTGAGTTACAGTTTCTCCAGATGTTAGTCCTGTGAAATTATATGCATGCTAAGTAACTGTACATATTCTAAGAAAATTCCTTTCTTGATGTAGGAGTTAATGAAATTACAGCTCTCTAAACTTATGTTTTCTTAGATTTTTTTATCATTCGATAATATGCTGTCCATGTGCAGCATTTAAATATCTGTTCTGTTACGATATACAGTAATAACAAGATAATTTATTGAACTCACTTTAGCCCTATTTCCTCTGATATATTATTTTGATTAGTGCATTTCTTCTTTTTTTTTTTTTTTGTCTTTCTAGGTTCAGCTACAAACAATACTGAAAAGTAAATACGTGGTGTATTTCATTGAACAAATGAAAGGTTGACAAAATAAATTAAATGTGGCAGATTCTGTCATTTCCATTTGGATGGAAGTTCAATGCACGTGGGCTCATCTAGAAAGTATTTTCATTTTCTCTGATGATATCAGAAGCCATTTGCCTGAAGATGTACACAGACTTGATGAAATCAATACGGGCTTCAGAGTAAGTAGAGTAAGTGTGTTATGTTCATTTATGTCTTGTATTTGAGTTATATAGAGTAATTAAGTAGATATTTTTAAACAATACCATGTTGAAAGTTTAGTTTGAAAATTTCTTTGATAGGTTTGTTTCTAACCCATTGAGTTAATGTTATTGCAGAAAGTATACTTAGGTGTAGTCTGCATTCTTTATTATTAAAATTAAATTATTTATTTGCCTTGTTTTCCTTTCACATGGACTGGCATGCAAACTGGCACATTATCACAAACCTCAGTAGTGGAAGAAGTTCTGTGGATCATTCCTTCACATGACTTTAATATCTTCTTTGATATTTGAAAAACTAACTCTTTGTTAGTTTTTTAATCTCCTGGAGTTGCACAGAGATATGATATTTCTCAGTTAAGGAAATCCTTGCTGTGAAACACTAATTTATGACAGTGATAGCTGAAATATAAGGTTATGATATATTGTTTATTAAGGACCAAAAATTATAGTAGGTCAGCCTAAGCATTTTCACTTATACAGAATATCAGGTCTTAATTGTTTTTTCTGGCCAAACAAAAAAAAAGCCACTGAAGCCTTGAAGAGTAAAGAGAGTAACTTGCATTATGAATATACCTATAATTCAATCTACATATGTCAGGGAAAATTCTGAGGGCTCACTTTTCACTACATGTGTTTCTGAAAAGCTAAGTTATGATAGTGATCATTTCATAGGTTCTACGTTTAAAACATCAAATACATTTCTAATTGTTTAAATCTGCAGCGTAAGCAATATGGGCTGCAACACATCTAACTATACACCTACAAAAAAACCCCTACATTCACACCTTTGCATTAGTTGAAAACCTTGTTAAGAATGATGATTAATGATAATTAACAGGCATGATTTTCTTCATGATGCATATTTAAGAAGGCATGGGTCTTTCACACATAAGCAGAATTGTCATACAAGTTAATGCTTTTGGTGTAATCTGTCATGTTGTTAGAAGAGATCTAATACTATAATCAAAGCAGTGTTTGTTTTTCTTCAATGGCTGTTCAAAGAAGAACTAAGTTGCCTGAGTTCCTTTTTTGTTTTCTTCAGGTTCATTGTAAACATTGTGAAAATAAATGGTTGTGGATTTTCTTCTTTTGTCATTTAAAAAATAGAATTTTAAGCTGGTGAGGTGTCTTCTTCCACTTCCTTTCCCCTGTGCTTTCTTTGTCCCTTTATACCAAATGGTATGAAATGGCAAAATGTGAGGGGAATTCCACCCGCTGTAACTAATTTCCTCACAATTCTGTATGGGAATGACACAACAGAAACAAAAACATGATAGAAGTTACCACCAAGCCATCGATACATGAAAAATTGAAGATTTGCAACACAGGTAAAATTTCCAGTATGACCGTGAGTTGGAAATACAGTTCTGGAATAGTTGGGAAATGATGAATGTTGAGTCATGCTTGCTTTTTGTACAGTTTTGAAATTATATGATAATATTTTTGTTGTTCATTGCTATTTGAGATACTGGACTTGTATAGATTTGTATGATTAATTACATTTGAGGTATTATTTTGTTATTTATGAATCACATGATGTAAAACTTTTTCAAATGTCTTCAAAATATTTTTTTTTGTCAAATTTGTTTTCTCCCACACACAAACTTGTAGCTGGGGGTCTTTATTTCTCACTTTCAGCAGATTTGTCATGCATGTGGTGTTTGTCTTATTTCCCCTGCAGATAGGCATGTAATTGAGCATTTTGAAGCTTAATACTTCTAGTGCTAATACCAGCATTTATTTTTGTGTTTGTTATTCTTCATACATGAAAATGTATTTTTGGAGTCACTTCACTCTCTCATTACAGTGGTTCATTGGGTTTTGCTTTTTCAAAAATTTCTTTTATCTATAAATATCTGCCCTGTCAAAAAGAAATCTTCCTGACCCTTGTTTCCTAAGTCTGGACTCTTTGGAAGAGTTGAAGAGGAGTTTCCATGTAGTCAAATGTACTTTCTCAGATACTTCTCTGGTAGCGTTCCGTTCTTATAGACTTCTTGGTCTGAAGGAGTGAAAAGAGCTGTTTTGAAAATATGTAAAGTTTGCCACTTTCCAGCTGTTTCTTACATCTGGATCCATTGTTGGTACTTAAAATTAAAAGTAGACTGCATTGTTCTGTTTCACTGTTTCATCTGATTTCCTCCTTAACTGGAAGAGAGTTCTTGGTTTTAGGGAGCTTGAAGGTAATACCATTAAAATTTCTGTTTTCTTTCAGACTTCCTCTTTGGGAAAAATCCCTGGGTGGATATTTAGAAACCAAGCACATAATGTTTCCTCACTTATATTTTGTTTCTTCAACAGACTTGCTAGCTATTCTTCCAATAGGAACACAGCCAGAACAGGTAAACTTCTTTGCATATATTTGTACTTCATGTTGTCGATAGAAGGATATATTTCCAGGTAATGATGTGAGAAGATAGTATCATAGTATCACACTTTTATTTTTGAATGTTAATTTGAGTGTTAATTTACTTATACAAAATATTCATGTTTCTGAAGTAAGGCAGTAACTATTTCCTGACAGCTAGGAGAGGTACAAGGTCTTCATCAAGGAGAGATTAAACCATCATTCTGAGATATTAGAAATCTTGTGCTGTCTCTTACTGGAAATTTAGCTGTGTATGATTTGAATGTGTATAGATCATAACTTTGCAGGAATTAGAAGTGGAAAAGGCCAATAAGATCATCAAATCAATTCTGCTTCTGGTGCCGACTGATCAAATTTCAGAAATGTTATGCATAGTGGTGATAAGTAAGACTGAGAGATCCATGGTCTTTGTTACGTTGTTAATGACTTTACTGTTGACCATTAATGTAAGCAATGTTTTTGTAGCTATCCTTGTTTTCTCCCCTTCAACAATAATCTATTAGATTTTGTGACGCTTTGAGACAAATTTGTATTAAAGCACAAGTATATTTCATTTCAGGACTTCTATACTCCACATGCCAGATATATCTACATGTCAGATAATATTCCTGGCCTCAGTGATGATCTAGCTATGGCCATTAATTCTCTGAGTACTAAAGCTATTGGTGTGTCTCAGGCAAAGTTGGGTTTTTTTTGTTTGTTTGTTTTGTTTTGTTTTTTTTTTACGAGGGATCAGACATGTAACAGAACTGATATTTTCCCAGAGGATGAATTATTTGACAGGCCTAAATGTTGAGCCTTTTCAGACATGATCGTAGATTCTCCCGTCTGCTTTACATTACTAAATCTTACTGACTTGTTTCATCCATTAATTGTTCTATGTTATATACAAGAAGAGCAACCAGACAGTCTTCTGTTCTACTTGTCAGGAATAGACCATGCCAGTGTGTAGACAGTGATCTTCAAAATCTACGGTCTTTGGAGAGGTGTGTTGTTACACAAGGCATTTATACCTAAATCAACATTTTTTTTGGTGAAATAATCACTAACAATAATTAATAACAATTTCAAGACATCTTGGTTTCATATTGAGCTTAGACCTTCAGTCTCTTTGACAACTGACAATAGTGTCATTAGCTCTATTCACTACTTGCTCTGTGACTGTTTCCACCCAGCTTTTCCCATAAAAAACCTCCTGTGTAGTAATCATGTAAGTCAGTGTTGCTGTGTCAGGCTGTACCACCAGAGAAATCAGAAATACTCTTCTTATTTGTTTCATCAGCATAAGTGTTCTAATGCTATCAAAATACCATTTAAAAAAAAAAAAAAAAATCTATTGTTTTTAAAACTTACAATTGAAACGCTGTTAATCACCCCATCATTTGGTGCATTTTACTTGCTACAATCAATTGAATGTGAAGAAACATTTTCAAGAGGATAGAGAGGAATCAACAAACACTGCCCTTAGAATGTACAGCAGAGAAAAGGGGCACGTTCCTTTCCACGAGGAGTGTGATTGCAGTGGTCAGGTATATTGAGTTATATGAAATTTCCTTCATGGATTTTCCCTTCTTTGGGATGTAAATTAAATGGACACTTAGACTGGCATAAAATGTCACTTTTTAAAATGGAAACATAAAAAAAAAAAAAAAAAAAAAAAAAACATTAAAAAAATTACAAATATCTTTTCCAAATTTCAAAATATTATCACTACTACATTGCTCAGAGCTGCCTAATAAACTAATAACTTAATAATCTAGTTGCCTTTTGTGTGGAAGCTTATAAAGAAGTGTAGAGAGTTAAGTGTTTAGGAGCAATCAAAAAGAAAAATTGTGCTGAAAGCCACAGAACATTGAACTCATACTAATAATTTATACTAATGAACCCTATGGTTAAACGTTACTTTCCTCATACTTCTGTCTTCTGCATTTCCACAACAATTTCATTCTCCTTCTCTCTAATCCTTTAAGGCACACCTCTCCAGACCTCAAGCTCTCTCCCATGTCCCCTATCAGCTGAACATGGGTTTAGCTGTTTTTGAGCCTCATGTTTGCTAATTGGCCAGCCAGTACGCGTACTAACTGGGTAGTGGTAGGTCAGAAAGAACAGATCAGCAGCTTCTGAGACAATAACTTATTGTTCTCACAACAGTGCTGAATGGATAAGCATTCACATTGCATAAAATCAATGTTGCATGTAGTTCTAATGATTGATTGTCTCAGCAGGGAAGCCAGAGATTGAATGGGCAAATATATGCAGTTTGCCTCTTAGAGATAGTTTCTCCAAGACACAGCTACATTTGAGTGCCTGGAGACATAGGAAAGACTGTATTGTCTGTGTTTACTCTGTCTCTGCAGAACAGAAAAACTCTAATCTCTAAGACAGTAGATCTGTGTGCTTCAATCAAATGGATATGTAAAGCAAAACAATGTCTGGTATCCCAGTAATTGGGAAAGGCTCCTCAGAATTAAATCCTACTGAAGAAACAGTGTGGAAAGAGAAAATGGGGAAGAAAAAAAAAAAAAAAAGAAGAAAAGCAAACAAATAGAAAAATCCTCGCTTCAAGTTTGTAAAGAATGTTGATATGAAGAACATCTTTTGTAAGGATTAAAGAGATGAGCTTCTTATTTTGTTAATATAAAACATAGCATTTATGCTATGTGCTTAGATTTATGCCTTTTTTTTTTTTTTCCTTCAAAAAGTCTTGGTTGCTACACCTTGATGAAACTCTATGCAAAATAGTGTGTCTCTATGTCAGGAAGGTGATACTGGCCTATGAAGAAAACCAGAGAGAACTTCTTGACTACTCAGTCTAGGTTGCACATACTTGTCAAAAATCTGAAGGGTTTCAGATGTAGAAATGGCATTTGCTAGGCTGGAAGAGAAACCTAGGGAATGAGTTCTGAAGGATTACCACAAGAAATAGGTATTCATAGGTGTCTTTTTGCATAATTCAGGGAAAATTAGCACAGTGTGAAAATGGTGTCATAAAAGAATATTTAATATTTTTAGTCTTATAGTAAATTAACTGCTCTTAGCATCTACGGGGAGGGGAAGAAAAAGAAAGAAAGAAAAAGAAAATAAATAGTCCTTTTGCTTCAGTTTCTGTTATCTCATGGGCATTTTGAGTACATCTTGATTACTGGGTTTTCCATGGGACGATTCTAAACTGAGATGAAAGGTACAAAGACTACCAGAGTTCAACCATGTTAGTGTAGCAAGAACAAAGTATGAAAGCAGTATAGATATAAATATTAAACCCATGTATTTGTTTAAGGAAGCAGAAATTGTTTTTCTGAGTCAAACCAAACAGTTTACTTCTAATTTTATTTATTTTAGTTCCTCTTCAGAAGAGTAGCTTCTGCTGTTTGAATTTTGTTTCACCTTTGCTTACCTCCACTTCCTTTGAATACTTAAGTAGCCTGGTTTTCTTTTCCAATTTAGAAAATCTGCCACCTTGGAAATACAAATAAGAAACACACCTGTAAGGAGAGGAAAATCTGACAGAGATACCTAAAATTATCCCTATAATAGAGGAGATGGACAAAGATTCATCTTTTGTTCACTGTCATAATATAAATGCAAATAGGCATTACCTGAAATAATTAGGCAGCAGAGTTTAAAAAAAAAAAAAAAAAAGAAAGAAAAAGAAACACTTTCACACTGTGTGCAGTTTGAAATACAGAACAGTTGGCTACAGAATGACAGAAGTATAAAAAGAGGTCAAATAAATGGTTAGTCCTATTTCACTTCAGTTCATGGCAATTAAATATGATGATAAAATTGGTAGAGTGGTTTGTGGTGTGTGTTTGTTTGTTTGTTTCCACTTGTTTGAGTTTGGTTAGTTTTTGTTTGTTTTTTGTACGTGTTTGTTTTGTTTTTGTTGTTTTGTTTTAGTAAATCCTGTCTGATGTGTCAGTGGTATATTATGGTTTATATTCCCAGAATATCCATCTCCTGGGCTTGCTTTATGTTTTTTGTTTGTTTGTTTTGTTTGTTTGTTTGTTTTATTGTTTTTTTGTTTGTTTGTTTTTAAAATAATTTCTGCTAGGTTCTATGAAAGACAAAGGGTGATCCACAATGAACCTTTGTGTGATGAGCAAGGCTACGTTTCTGTGGTTGCCGCTGGTTCTGTGACTTCAAGCATTATCTCTGTCACATTGTCTCTGCTTTCTGAGTGGACATAGTATGTGCTAGGGACTTTAGGACTTGTTCTACTTTAAAAAGGGTGGGCTAGGAACCCTGGACCTTCATGCAGATGACATCTTCCTGCCATAAAGAAGTGGAGCTCTGATGTGTTTAAAACAAACAAACAAACAAAAAACCCTTTTGGGATACTAGGCAATTTCATTCCAAGTGTTGCTACTCATACATCCTTTATAGTTGCATTGGTACTTCCATCATGATGTGATACAGAAAAATAAGAAGTCCGGTGAAATTATCTGCTGGTTTTATTTTTGTAAGCATTTTCAAAATATTTTAGGATTTAGACTAGGATTCTTAAGAAATTTATTTTCTGTAACTTGGTCCTGACAGGAGCCTGGGGATGCTTTGAATTCAATTGCATCTCAGCAGAACTTTTGGTGGTGGTGGCAGTACATGCAAAGATGATTCAGAATGCAATTAGGGACAAGAAAACAAGTATTTTTTCATTATTTTTTTTCTTTTGTCCTTTACAGACCATGAATACTGAATCAGTAAAATATTGCAAATTTCATCTGAAGTCTTCTGTAAATTCACTGAGGGAGTAGAGAATAACATCACCCGTGTAATATACTATGTCAACATAACTTCCTCTTCAAGATGTAGTAATAAATGTGAGTAACCTCCTGGCTCTACAGGAATGCAATTAAAGCTTTGCTCTTGAAATCTGGGTCTTGTTCAAGTCCCACCATGTGAAATCATTGCACAGTATGGGCCAGAATTTTGGTGGGGCTCATTTTTTCAAGAAGTCTCAGGGTTTCCCAGTGTTTTTGAGACAGGCCTTTTGTTTCTACTGTACCACATCATTCTCCTTCCTTTGCTTCCTTTCTTCAGTGTTGTCTCCTGGCCTTTTCAAGACCACCTCATCCCTGCCTCAGTCCTGTTTTACTGGTGGGGTTTATGGACTTGTGCTCTACACTCGCTTTCATCTTCAGTTCTGGCAGTTGCCTTGGCTGTACTGAGTGAGTATACCTCTGTCTTTTACCATGTGAAGAAATGACCTCATTATATTTTCCTCAGAGAAGCAGCCATCAGAATTTCTCTTTTTTACTCTTGTTCTTTGCATTTATAATGCATGTTTTAAAATTTAGTTCCTTCTGTTTCAGCTGTAGGCACTCTTTGTTGCCCTAACTGTACAAACTTTTCTATCCTAGTTATATGCTGGACAGTAGAAAGGTTACTAAAAGCCAGTGCCCACCAAAGAATTGCCACTATGCCTGCTCTGCTAGCATAAACTTTCCTAGGCGTTTGCTTTTGGCTCTTGTGAGACATGATCTAGGGAAAGATAAACCTTTGTCATCTGATGACTAGTTTTGTATTATGCACTTGTTTACATCTAATTAAACAGTAAATATAATATATACATATATATATATATGTAAAGATAACAAAGATTTTCCTTGGGCAAAACATTACACTGAAGTCATCAGTTACAACATTTATCACTGTGAACCCAGGATATGCATATACCTGTGAGCACTAAAATGTACATACACACACAAGAATATTTGCTGTCTAGTGATAGGAATAGATTCCATAGATGGGAATCCTTACAGCTGGTTTAACCTAGTAAATTAACTACTCGTGTAAGTGCCTAGCTATCACTTTCTGCCATGAGCATAGGTATGCCTACACAGAGGTTTTGTGACTACCAGTTCCAATTTAAGCCATATGCTTTGCTAGTAAGCTACTGAATGTGTGATTGGTGAGAAGCTGTGAAAAGCATGGTACACAGTAAAAAGTTTCATATGGTTTTGGATGCTGCAGGACAGCCTGTTATCTCTTTCTTAAAGTACATATTTATGCCTTATATCTTAACGCCAGTCTCTCAAGGAAGAAGTTTAATTTTTAAAAGATCTAACCATGTTTTGCAAGTTGCACTCAGTGAGTTAATATCAAAATGGTGTTCTTTGGCTGAATTAATGATGCCAATTTATTCCAACAAAGTGTTGGAGCTGTGTTTTAAACTATGTGATGATGGTCTTCGATTTAACAGTGCAGAGCTTGCTTAAAAAAAAGTTGTAAGTTGCTTTGTTACTTGAAATCTATGCTCTTGCCTTGATGCTTTTCACTGATTTAACCAAGACTTGAGAACAATTTGATTCACTGAATTCATTTCTCAATATATTGAAGTTCAGTAGGGCAAGCTGCAAGGCATTGTCAGGCTGTCTGGAGAGGCACAAGCATAGAGTTGATATCTGGGATTGCTTTTCTGAGCAGTAAACCCCCATGATTTTTATAAGATAGAAACCTAGAGCAGAACTGGGCCTCACATTGGTGCTTCTGTGAGCAAGTTGAAATGGAGTCTACCTGCTTATCTATTAAAATAGACCAGCATTTTGGTATTTGTATTATTTTTTCTTTACCTATGACACCATACTCCTTCGTGCTTTCACAGCAGAAAGACACAGAAGTCTGCTAAAGTTGGAAAGCTGTTTGCTCAGGCACATCTCCTCTCACCAACCAAACATCCTGCTTCAGATGGCAGGGCTGGGTGGCAGCAGCAATTAGCTTTTTTGTTCTTTGGGCCTAAATTTATAACAAGCAGGAAGCAACATCTGGTTATAAGGAGATGGTTAGGATTTGATGTTTAGGAGATGGTTAGGATTCATCTGCCTCTGCAAAGACTGTTGCTAGAGAGGTTTCCATCAGCCCTCTTTAATCTCACGCAATGTGGGGCAAAGCCTAGCAAAAGGATTGCTTTTTCTTCAAATGCTCTGTACTCGTTTTCTGAGGTGAAATCTTCCTAATCCAGACAATCTTAATGTCATGAACCTTGGGGGATCTTTCCCCAGCTGTAACAGGCTGCGAGACACAGCAACATGCAGCAGTAGCTGGGCTCTGAAGGATGCAGCAGGCATGCAGCATTGCTACAACATTCTGAGAAAGGCCAGTTGTAAACTGGTCTAAGACCCTAAAGCTGAGCCTTAGCAAACATTGGTGGGACAATATATTTCCCCACAAGTGCTTTTAGTGAATTATACTATTAGAAGAGTTGTTGTATTTGTTTTCCAGAAGTTTGAACTAATGGTTAAATTAAGGGAAAAAATAATAATAATAATTTAAAAAATAATAATAAAAAAGGAAGAAACAAACAAACACTATAACCTCCAAAGGCAAACACAACCTTGTACAAGAGCATTAAACAACCCCAAAAATCCAAGTCCTTAAAAAAAATAAATAAATAATAATAATAATAATAATAAATGGCCATTTCAGCAATGGCAGGGTGTAGCATCTGACTTCCAGACCCTGCACAGCTCCTGGCAATATCTTTTGGTGGTTCATGGCAAGTGACACTGCAGCAGACTGCCTGCTTAAAGTATCTGTAGTACCTGTCTTGCAAACCCTGCATTTCTCAGCTGTCTCCTTTTCCTTTGTGTACAGAAATGTTACTGAATGCTAACAATCAACGGTTCCTAATTAGCTCCTTTTGCTTTGAAGTAAGGTCCTTGTTAGCTTTGACTGACACTCTTAATTGTGACTCTCTTGAGCTCTGTTTTTAAAAATGTTTGCACACATCAGTCATTTGATTTAAGTGACTTATTCTTACCATGTTTAAGTACTAATCTGTGTATCTGGATTATGGGGTTTGTTTTCTTCCTTAGACCCTGTGCCATGGTTGATCCTGACATTGAACTGATCTGTGAAATTTTGTTGGTTGTTGAAAGGTTTATTGATATGTGCTTATTTGACAGCAAGTTTAGCACCTTGTATACTCTCTGCAGGGAACTGTTCTCTAAACAGGTGAGGGTCTCTTTGGGCTTCTGGGTTTGCTATGTGTTAATTAACACATAGGCACTTGGAAACAGTGCAGCTGGGCATTGTAGAATAATTGTTGTTTTTTTTTAATTAATTTATTTATTTTAATTATATGGTCTTTTTATTTTTAAGATACTTTAAATCACATGCCCATCCCTACTTTACCATCAGATATGAATTTAGAATAAAATGCACTTTTCTCCAACCTTGGTACATTTGTAATGCATTAATTTCATGTTTAAAAAATTGTAAATCGCTGTATAGTACCTGAGATGGCTGAGCTAAATAGTGTTGTTGTTGTTTTTTTTTAAAAAAAAAAGAAAAAAAAAACTACCTCTTGGAGAAGAGAAAAACTTTGAAGCAGAGTAGGAATTATTATGAATAACAATTAATATATTCTGTTTGAATGAATGTTTGTTTAAACTTTTGCCTGTGAATACAGTGGAGGATTGCTTAAAAAAAATAAATTAAATAAATAAATAAAGCAGTGCTAAGTAATTATTATCCTAGGAAGACTTTATATTCAGAATAACTATCCTAGAAATATACTTTTTTTAAGCTCTTTCCTCACCACCATATGTTTCTTCAAAAAAAAAAAAAAATAGGCTTTTATTAGGCTGAGTAACTACCTGTGTCTCTTGTCCTTTAATTTTGGTGTTTGATGTAAAATATGCTGCTAGTCTACCCAGTCTTCTCTTTTGGAAAAAGAAAAGTATTAACATCAGGTCAAATTAGATGTTTGGCAGCAATTTTTCTGCTTGCCTTGTTTCATCATGGAGGCATAGTGGTATTGAATACAATAATACTTTAAAATATAGTGGAAGGTATATGAGGACATAGTTAAATGCAGACTGTGAGTAAGTGCTGAGAATGACTAATAAAAAGGACAGCTTCCCAAGAAAACTTGGTCTTGGAAATCACTTCTTCATAATTCCTACCCACAGCTTACCCCTGTGATAGAAAAATGAGACATCGAAGTGACATGAACCTAAGGATTAATAAGTTATTAATTTTTTTTTTTTAGAGTGCACCTTGACATCTTAAACTTCAGACAAGTAAATGCCCAGCCTGCGAGAACAGGAAGGAGACATGTTGCATCTGTGCTGGAAGAACAGTGTGTGACCTCCTCCTGAAATCCATCCGTCCAGAGGAGTCAGCACCTTGTCTTTGTAAATGATGTCTATGAGTGTGAGATTGTCACTGGAGGAACCAAGGTGGAAATGGATCCAAAAGTTCATGACATCCTATTCTCAAAGTATCGTACTGGAGGTTTTACTTCTGGTGCAAATTTTGCCATGTAAAAATAGATGGGATATTAAAAATTAGATATACACATTTAACTTTTTTATGCTTCTGACACTGACCTAAAAACACTGCAAGGCTACAGCGTAAACAGGGAACAAAAAGGTGCCACTTTAAATATACTGTTTTCTTATACATTACCACCTGGTTTATTTTCCTGTGCTAACACAATCCATTAAAATATTTTCCAAGAACCACTGTGACTGGGGACTTCATGCTATCAAGTCAGTTCTGGTAGCTGCTGGCTTACTGAAATGTAGAAAGAACAGACCTGAGGACCAGGTACAACCTTCATTTACAAGCAGGAGTAAGAGTTGATCCTGGTGTTCTGTCTGAATAAAAACAGAATCCTAAAAAGAGAAGGGTTTAATGCTCTTGTGATCTGTGGCTTACCATCCTTTTCCAGGTGCTTATGTGAGCCTTAAGAGACTTAAATTTGCTTAAAATAGTGACAGATGATATCCCAATTTTCATGGGCCTGATCAGTGACCTGTTTCCAGCTCTGGATGTTCCAAGGATAAAGAACCTGTAATTTGAACAGATGGTTAAACAATTTACCCCCGAGCTTCACTTGTAGCCTGAAGAGAGCTTTATTTTCAAAGCAAAAGAATTCATTGCCTTTAATTATTCCCCTTAAGAGTTTCAATCAAAATAATTGCAAATGGGTTGTATTAGACATGAAGGTTATTTTTGAGTATGTTACACTATTGATAAGGCATCCTCAAAGTCTCAGTATTTCAAAGGCATTTTGTAATGGCAGTACAGGAACTCAGTATGATAAATATAGAATTAAGGAAATAAGGATAAATAAGGAAAAAATATCTGTTCAAAAAGGCTGTCTCCACTGACAAACATGATTTTTTACAGCACCAAGTTCTTGTACACAGTAGCTTAGCAAATGTTGGTGATTATTTATAGGGGTGAAGGAAGCAAAAAAAAAAATAAAATAAAAAGGTATAGATTTGGAATGTGTGATTACCTATGTTGTTTTTTTTTCTTCATGTATGTTCTGCTATTTCTGTATAATACAACGCAGAGATAAGTACTGAGAAGGTCTAAGTTCCTATTTCTTTTTAAAGGGAATAGAAAAGAGGGGAGAAGGGGAGAGAGAACTTCTGTGCATACTTCCCTCTCTTTGTTAAGAGGACAACAGGAGAGCAAAGGGTCTCACCATGTATTCCTCCTGTGTGGCAGACTGTTAAGCTGGAAGAGCTACTAGCAGTATGTTGCTCCATGTTTGCTGTTGGAAATGCAAGGACTGGAAAAAGCAAGGTACCTGCCGGCCGACACAGTGGGTTTTTGATTTCACATTGCAAAGAAATTGCCTTGGTTCTTGCAGAAAATATTCTGCAGGATGTGTTGACTCTGCTTTAGGCTGTTGTATGATAACATGTTGTTGAGGCCATCCAGTCAGCCATGTGGCATGCAATGGCAAAACTCAAATGTACACTTTGCTCGTGACATTTTATTTGTTTGCAAATACCAAAGGAAAATTAATAGTGGCAGCAAGTAATGAGCATGCTATTTGACAGATAGACTAAGTAATATATTGTTCTGGAAGGAGAATCAGGATGATTTAATTAGGCTTCTAGACAGAAATAGTGGAATATTTTGCCAAAACACTAGACAAGTATTTCTAATAGATAATGCCTATTCCTGTTACAAAATTTTGGCCGGTATGTGATTTTCTTCCCCTTTCAACATTTTCTATTAGAGAAGATAGACTGTGGAGTGCAGCTGTATCAGAATGGGATTCTCCCTTGCTGTCATGGAATCACAGAACCATTCTAGTTGGAAAAGACCTCTGAAATCACCTAGTTCAACCTTTAATCTAGTACTGGCAAGTCCACCACTACACCATGCTACTAAGTTCTACATCTATATGTTCAGAAGCTTAACGGAAATTAGGCTTAATGTCGTTAATATACCCAGTTTAGAAAGAAAAGCAAAAATTCCTACTGTGTCAAAATTGACACTAACGCACTGCCTGTCCATCCCCTTTATGTGCTCAAAACTGTGCATTACACCTATGTGAACATGCAACAAAAGTCCATTTGGAATGGCCTCAACCCAAAACCTCTGACAGCTGTCAAACTGTTTGGTTATATACACAGTGCAACACAAGGGTAAAAAGATGGCAAATGGCATATGTCCTTCTTATCAGGACCTGTTCCTAGAAGCATAGTTCTCTATCAAAAATAGGCAATGCCAGAATTCAATGAAGGCATTAGAGACTGAATTATTGTATTGTTTTGTTGTTGTTGTTGTTGTTGTTTTCTGTGTTTTAATGCAATATGATGTGAATGCAGAGCACTGGTAATTGTGGAAAGACTGGAAGCAGGACAGGATGCTAGTAGACAGAAAAGTGCTAAACTGAATGATGCTGATTCAGCTGCCTAAGAGGGCAGTTATTTTCTCTCCAGACCCATGAAGACTTCCGTATCTCACCAATATTGTTAAAAATAATGACATATTCTCCTGTAGCCAAAACAGAGATAGGTCTTTATTATATAAAATACAGTTATTCTGCTGTATCAAGAGTTCACTGAAAATATTTTTTATTTTACTATGAATAACCATCTATTAAGCAAAGCATAGTTTTCTTATGCTGTACAAGATTCTTGTTTCAGTGACGCATTAGGAATCCTGAAGTTTTAATTGCTGTACATTGCTGTTATTTAAGCACTAAAGTGATGAGATTTTGTTGAAATATAATTTACAGCAGAAATTATATTCTGCTGTCTTTTCTTCTGAGAGAGCAAACTAATATTACCCACGAGGGGTCAGAATGGTTAGTTTTGGATGGGGATGTAGATTCCATGTGCACTGAGTCACTCAGTACTGTTACAGATGATAACAAAGTGAGCAACTGGGAAGCAAGCACGCTAGATTCTTCTCTACCTGTTTTGCCCTTTCTTTACTTTTTTGAAGACAGTTTTTCTTCCATTCCTTTCATTTCTTTTGGTTTTCACTATTACTAAGTGATTCTTTGGCATCTGAGTAATATATTGCTTGCCTCTATGTACAGCAAAAAGTCTTCAAGTTTCCTACGTATACTGTAAGGCTCATTGTGCCTCCTAGTGTATAAATTGATGTAATTCAAGTTGTCAATCATAAGATTATTGAAACCAGCGTTTGTGAAACCTTCCAGTAAAACAGATTTAAGATTTAATGAATTAAGTCCTCACATCACTGTAGCAAGGAAGGCTAACATTAGGAAATCTAAGTCAGCTTAAGAACTAGCAGTAGTATCTATTTTTTTATTCTCTTCTCATTAGTTACACAGTGAAACCAATTTAGTTGTATGGCCAAAATGCTGCAATGTAATGAAATCCAAATCTAAAATCTAAATGTAACTTTCAAATGATGATTGTAGTTTGTTCCATTCTGTTAAGCTTTCTTCTCTTGAGAACTTAAGCCCATCTCTGTGTGGTGACGTTCTCAGGTTACTCTGAAAGGTGCTTGTCTGGGGTTATCCACATATCCACTTTAGCTATTGAACAGAAAGCATTATTTCCAAGGGACGTTTTGGAGCACCCAAATTTAGGTTCCTGCTCTCCATCATTTCTTTCTATTGACATTGAGAAAGATTTAGCTTCTCCTGCTTTTAGCAGCCTTCAGGAGTACTCTTATTGGTTAAGCAGGCTACTCTTCTTTTGAATGGATTAAACTGTGGAAAAACACAGAATCAAGTAAAACCTTTTGAACTTGTCCTCCTCTGTGTTTCTGAAGCAAAAATCATAGCCATGTTTGAACAATCTTTATTTAGCTCTATTTGAGATGTACTGATGCTTTCCAGGTTCTGACCTTTACAGGCAACAAATGTGTGCCCATGACTCCATCAATGCAGCTACGGTTTGAGGTGCACCACTTAAAAGCTGCAGCTCCAGATAGAGGATCCAGAGCTGGCCTCCTCTATCTGAACACCCAGGACCTGGGCTAGAATCCATGGGGATCTGATGATATTAATTAAAGATTTTAAGATACATCCTGAAAATTAATGGGACTAGATGCTATTATTATTCTACTATGATAATAGGGGGATGAATTAGTTGATGGGTTATGTAAATTGTTAAATACAGTTTGGAAGATTTCAGCATAAGTTAAGTGTTTTATTTTTCCCTCTTATCCAGAGTGTTCAATAAGTAAATAAATCGGTTGTTGTTTCCTGTCCCTTTTAATAATAGTTGCAATTTTTGATACTGTTAAGGACATCATGGTTTACATCAGCTTGATTTTCTTTACCTCCTACCCCTTTTGATTGCAGTACTCCTCTTTTGACTTTTTATGTGTGTGTTTTATTCAAATTAATCACAAGAAAAATTTTTTTTAAAGAACATGGGTCTCCATGTATAAAAGGGCATTTAATTGTTAAAAACACAGTACAATAATTTAAGCAGTCCAGTGTGATCTTTTCCTTTTGTCTTTTGTTGATCTAAAACAATACAGTTGTACAAATATTAGTAAAAATGGAGTCAAGTATTTTCAATCAGTGTTTTTATTTTCAAGCAGCATTACTGCAGTTTCATAACAAAATTTGATTTTTCAGCACTCCAACATGTCATCAACATTTTAGTTCTAGCCATCCATTTCTAGAGTACTGTGTCAGGACAACTGGAGAAGCCTTCAGTCCACACATTTCCCAGAGAAGTCTTGTCAGTAGGAGAATTTAATTAAACAGCTTGAGTTGCTTCAAGCTGCCCACCTAGGGGGTCAGGATCAGAAGACTGGTATGGGCATGGAGAAGCAATATGATCTCTCACAGCAAACAGGAGTGTAGAGATGGAAACAGTAGGCAACAAACTGTTCAAACAGAATAGCTGTGAATGAGTAAATAATTGGTTTAGGCAGTGTTTGACTAATACTGTGTGAGCACAAGTAGGGGATAAAATTGCCTAATCCTTTGGAATAGAGACAGTAAGGCATGTGGCTGCTAACCCGAAGCATATGCTATAGTTTGCATAACAAAAAGGACTTTTAGACCTTTGGTTGTGATAGGAACTAGCAGATGAGAAGAGTTACATTTTTATTACAATTGTCTTCAACTGTACTCAGCCAGACTTTTCAGCTAGTCTGGGTTTTATATATATGACTGTAGATGTCTGCAGTGCCAGTCACATTGAATTTGGGTGTCACATAATCATTGGTCAAGGGTACAATTTAAACACCGGTATTTTAAGTACTTTGTTCTAAAACAACAGAAAAAAATATGGAATCCTGGGTCCCACCTGCTTTTTGTTGTCTGGCCCTCTGAAAGCAGGAGAAAACCATCATCTGGTTCCTTCTCCCTGCCCTCTCTAGAATAAAGGATGTAGTCAAGGAAAATGGGTATAACCATATGCCAGTATACTCAGCTGTCAAAGTAGCTCTCAGAAATACAGCAGGATTATGTGCCTCCCTACTTGGAACAACTCAAAACAAACACTAAAACTGTTGGTCCTATTCCTGAAAATATTATGGTAAAGGCAGGCACTAGGATTAAAGCTATTTATTTTTTAAGGAACAGTGTTTCTGAAACATCCATTGAGCACGTGGCCCTATGCAGTATAAAATAAATAATAATAATAAATAAAGGTTTAAAATTACGATAAATCTGGTAGGTATGTGAAGTGAAGCTTAGAGACTCAGTACTGAAGTATGGCATATGCTTGTGAGTGGAGAGTTATAAAGCATGAACTAGTAAACTTTAAATTGCCTCAGTGGGCATTTAGTTAGTTTTGCTCTTTTTTTTTCAGTATGATTCACATACAGTATTCTCAAATGCTTTACAGTGTTTTGAATACATTAATTTTTAGGTCTTTTTAAATGCTTAGATAAGTAGGAATTTTCTTTGGGGGGGATTGAAAGTTGACGGGCATAGAAACATAGCTACTGATCAGACTGATCAGAAGATGTTATCCATTATCGGCTATCTTGAAATAAGATTTTTTTTATTGTAGTATAATAGTTGGTAGGAAAATATAAGGCTTGGAAAAGAAAGCTGTATCAGGTAGTGAAAGTTTTAGGTGCTCAGAGTAAGTGAGTAAAGTTAAACTATTGCCAACTACTTGCTGAAACAGTTTGAGGTATGCTGAATGCCAGACCTAAAGGTAAATGAAATATTAATTGAAAAATTAAACAAAATGCCTGTTGCACCAACGGTTTGTTTCTTTTAGCAGTTTTTGAGACACCAGCACTCTGTAAAAGCTGAGAAGGAGTTGACATATTTCAGTGAAAACCTGATTTCAAAATTTTTTTTTTTTTTTTTTTTTTTTTGTAGTAGGAAAAAGAGTACAAATTTTCGAGTAGAAATACTATGAACAGAAGAAATAATCCAGTAGAACATTCTGTTCCAGCAATTATGTCTTCAAATGAAAGAACAGCGTATCCCATTTCATTGCTTCTAGAGTTCAGTCTTAGGCATACATGTATCTGGAGAAAAACAGAAATCAAAGTTTGCTTTTAAAACTAAACTGCATTGTGCAAGTGTTTTTGTTTGTTTGTTTGTTTTGTTTGTTTTGTTTTTGTTTTTTCCTTTTCAATTTCAGTTAATTTTATTTCTCACATCTGAGGTGGCACCTCTCAAATATTTTATTGATTTACTTCTAACAGGCAAACCAGTCTGGCTTGTTGGAAATCCTGGAATAGGACAAACTCTTTGTAGGTGATAGTCTTTGGAGAGAACAGCAAGGCTAACATTCCTTTCAACTGCTATACACAGTCAGCAATGTTACAAAGTAAGTTCCATGCAGATGCAAGAATCCTTCAAAGGTGAAAAATTTTGTAGAGTTGTTATTATTGAATACAGCTGTTTTTCGGGATGGTAGATTTCAGAGGGCAGCAAAGAATTTAATTGCTATGGCCTTCCTACCTGTACACCCCATTGAGAATTCCTCAGCCCATGTCCCTTTCTTGCATTGCTGCTAGTGAATCAGATTGTCACTAGGCTTAAAAAGTCTTAAATCCACAAATCGCTACTGAATAACTTTTTACCCTGCTTTTTCATTCCTGCCTTCTGTTGATTACTTCTCTGTTCAGGTTGGATAAGCAAATACCACTTTCAGTTTACTTAGTAACTTAGTTCATTTTTTGAAGTGTTTCCAAGTTCATACTAAATTGGAATCCTACAGTAACACAACTTAATAACATTTCTACCCTCGAAATGGAGAGATTTGAAGAAATCTGATGTGCCTCAGAGAAGGGTCATACGTGAATATAAACTGTCAAAAGTTCTTTAATGGAGAAACAGCCTTAGAAAATTTTCAGATATTCCTGTTTTGGTAAGGATCATTTAGCTAATGATTGCCATTCCAGCAGCAACCATGGCCAAGGCACTGGAGCACAAGGGCATAACACTTCCCATTGCAAAAGGAAGCTGATAAATAAATAAATAAATAAATAAATAAATAAATAAATAAAAGGCTTCTAGGCAACTGATGCCAAAGGGGTTATACATTCTTTGTACAGGAAATTTCTTAAATAAATGAAATAGGTGAACACAGCATCACAGGGGCTTTCTATGCAAGCGTATAGCAGCACCCACTAACTGTACTATGGTCTAAAACTTGTGAGTTTACAAAGGTTTAAGGATTTGCTATGAAATGTTAGTATTATTCCTTCAGATTTTAAGTTTATATTGTAAAACATCTGCTGCTCCTTTTAACAGATTAACAAAGAAATGGACTCTATCTGCAGCTTTTCCTTCTCTCCACTGTTCTTCAGCCAAGTCACTCTTGTTAAGTGCTCTTCTGTGCAAGTCTGTGCAAGTTCCTAGCTGTGGGTGAAGAACTGCATAACAGTGTATACCAAATATATTGTGTTTGCTTTCCATTGTGTTTACAACATCTTTCTGGTGAACTGTAACAATATAATTTTGTTCTGTCATGTATCACTCAGAATGACTGCCTCTTATGTTATTCTAGTGTTTGTGGATACCAGTGCTTCTTCCCATACAATGAATTCAAGTGATATATTTTGGTGCCTGCCTTTCATATTTTTGGCTACCTCTCCAAGAAATTGTTTGGAACAATCAGGTGGTTGTTGTTTAAATGGGAAGAGGCATCCACATCAAATTACACAAATGAGCAATTAAGTCTCAGCTCAAAAAGAAGAGCTTAAAAGCTGAACTTGTTGAAGTACAGCTATTCCTCACATTGTCATGTTCCTTCCAGAGTTTAGAGGTTAAAAGATTTTTCTTACATATCATATCACTTTTAATTTGTGGTATTTTCTGCCAGCTCCCATCTTATCTCTATCTGCTTAACTTCTTTTGAGCTATCTGCTAGAGTGGGTGAGATTAGCATGAAGTGCTGGGTTTTATTTAGCATTCCCCAAGGCATATGACTCATCCACTCTCCCTCTAGAAAATCAGAAATTTTCAAAATGTTATTTGATGGCAGTTTCTGATGCAAGATAATATTGGCACATTAAGTTTGGGATCATCAGTAGTACTAAAGTCTGGAACAGTACCACAGGGAAATTTGCATAAACATTTAAGTACAATGGGGTTTAGTGAAATATATTTCCTTATTGTACCGTAATAATACAGTATTTGAAAAAACATAATGGGATCAATAGGTGACAATTGTGGACACTTAAAAATTTGAGTAAGTTTAAGGATTAAGAAGTGTTCCTAATTATGGGTTTAAAAGTACAGGTATATACGTACCTCTTCTAAATGAAGAAAATAGTCTTCTTTTTCCTAAGATATTAAGGCAATTAAGATACTTTAGACCTTTCATATACAGATAGTTTCTGCATGTTTTCCCCTTTTGTGGTAGAAAATTAGGATAAGTACAGACAGACAGATCTTTTTTTTTCCCAAATTTTATCATCCAGCTGCAAATACACTAAGGTTCTTCATTTTTGTCTTGTCTGCCAGTGCACCTTCACTCTTCATGTGCTTGCTTTTGTTCTCCGTAGTCAGTAACTATACTTTTAGCCAACTGTGGCTAGACATAAATGTATTTGAGAGCATTTGCTACCTTTCTTGAAGTGGCATGCCAAACTCACTGTTGAAACATGCAAAGGATTTATTTCACTGCTTAAAGAATCTGAGACGACAACACAATGTCCCTTTTATTCTAATGGAAGATGTTTGCAGTGATATGTTTCTTCATACTGCTTTGCCATGAAATGAAAAAGTCTGTGACAAGTCAGAACTACGGTTGTTCTGACATAGAGCATTTATGTGTCACTACACAACTGCTGCTTTCATTTCCTACAAGATCTCTTGATTGTGTTGCCCTGTTGTTAAGATAATAATCAAGATAAGCTTAAAAGTATATGTTTAATTTTCACTTTTCCTATCTAGCCAAAAAGATTTTAACATATAACCTACTATAACGTGTTTAAAAAATAAAAAAATAAAATAAAATAAAATAAAAAAAGAGGAAGGGGAAGTCTGTTGTCCACAAAGTTAGGATATACTGAATGACTGAACGTATAAACTATTCTATTTAGTATACATGGAAATAATCCTTTTTCTTAAAGTTTCATAAACACCTTTGCTTAAAATCCCTGCTATGAATGAAACTAAGAATGGTTCCAAAATTAGGCTGCTAACCAAATACGTTAGCCTTTTTCACTAGAACATGCTGAGAAGTTTACCTTGAAGTCCACTTAAGCCTGTGGTTTCATTTTCTGCAGAATATTTATATGATCATTTAAACAGCAAAAATTAATGACATAGGCAAGGAGATTAGATGTTTTGATCCCAGCCCTGTTCTAATAAATTCCTAGTGATTTCTGCAGGATCCTATTTCCATGCACAAAATAAAAACAAGATTTGTTTGTGTGTTTGGAAGTCAGATTTATATAAAGGTTGAATCCTGTGGAATACTTCACTAAGTGACAAAAAATGAGGATCACATCATACTAAAATTCAATGTTTTAATAATGCCTAATAACAAAAGTTTTATCTTATATTTTCAAGATATCAGCTTTCTCTAGTTATTCTTCCTCTTATATTTGTAAGGAAAGACATGCAGTTGGATAAAAATTGTATAAGCCTCAAATTTATAGGATTTTACAGATGTAGTGAATACATGAAATTATTTGAATTAATTTGCTTACTGTTGTAGTAAGTTTATCTGATGGTCTGCATTCAACCTTATTTAAGCACCTCTGGGGAACAGGCTGAAATTTTATATAATCAGCTTTATTCCTTAGTGATTAAATGATAGTTATAATTTGTATCTTTATACCTTTAGATGTATTAAAATTCTTGTTAATCCTTCTCAGGAGAAGAAGAAAATATACTACTTCAGTGGTAAAATTGTTGAATGTCAAATACCTGGGGATTTTACATGCAAAAGCATCTCAGTTCCAAAGGATGCAGATATGTGGTGAGATTTTCAAAAGCCATGAAGTAGTTAAACTAAATCAAACAACAATTTTCTGGAATTCAGAAGAACAGTCTGACATTTTTTAAAGGAATTTTGTGAATTTCATTGATTCCTAAGGACTTTAATAGTTTGAAAACCCTCATAGGTTGTGGAAATATTTCATAAATCCTAGCCAGCATGATTTTGATTTCTTGGTTTGTTTAGTTTTAGCATTGCTTAGCATGGTAATCATTTTTATGTATGCTGAGTATGTATGCTGAGTGATCTTTCAGAGGTGCTTGAAAAAACAAATGGAGGAAAAGTATGTTTGTAACTATGGCCCAATAAGAAATAAATGTATCTATTTTATGAATGATTTGAATATGCCTAAAGTGGATAGATGTGGTTTATACCTCATGTATTGATTCAGCAGCATAGGGATTATGAACACTGTAGAACATTTACTTCTTGAAAAAAATACAGGACAACTTTCAATATTGTGGTCCATGATAGGCTCCCTAAAACACATAGAAATGAAAAACTTCAAGAATTACTTCAAAAACAACAACAAAAAGCATACTCTCCCTGGAGTTTTAAGCGGTTTTAGAAAAGAGAAGCAGAAAGTGGAGAGGTTGTAGAGTCTTGGTCTTGGAAAAGGAAAGTATTCTTCAGCTGCTCTTGGTGGAGCATCCTATGGATGTATGTGATGAGAACACACATCTTTGAGGTATAGAAGCTGATGCCCTAAACTGCAGTTTGACAAATGTTTGACTTATACTCCTATCTCTTCATCACCCTGCAGGCAAAATCTGCAGAAACTTTACAGTACTGGTTCAAATGAACAAATGTTCTTTCTCTGTAATGAGAAGAAAAACATACACAAAAAAAAAAACACACTGAAGTTGATTTGGACAATTAAGGCAACTCCCCCCACTATCAAATAAATAAATAAATAAATAAAAAGAAATCTAACAACTAACAAAACAAAACAAAACAAAAAAAAAGTGGAAATTAAAATATATTAATATATTAGTATCCTATTACCAGATACTGTGAAAAGAGGTAATTTTCAATTTAAAATCAACCAATTAATGTTTTATTTTGTTCTGATACAGAATCCGTGTCTTACATAAATACTTACAGTTGCTGTTATCAATACAATTGGTTTCTTCTTGTTACTGTACAAGCATGTTACTTATGTCCTGTGTTTGCTTCACGCCACCTGTAAATAACGTTATCCGTTGAGTGAAGGAGAGAAGTGATCAACAACAACAATAATTAAAAAAAATAATCATACAGATATGTCAGTGTATTGTCAAAAGGAGGTGGACAGAGGGGCAGGCTATATGCTTACAAACAATGATACTTCAGCATTAGGAGGATGAGTGTATCTTCTCAGTGGTGTTCTTTGACGTGTTCAGGTTGGTCTCACACACACACATACACCATCCTTAAAATTTTTATTTTTTTTCTTGTTTTGTTTTTCGCTGTCACATGCCCTATAATCTCACTAGGTTAGTGACCAACTAGTGACCAACTTGACCAATAACTTCTGTACTGTTATTGTTCTTTTAATGTATATTCAGTAGAATTGTATAAGCATTTAATTAGGTGATATTTCATCTTGTGGAAGAGCAATAACAAGTTTCAGCTGAATATTTTGTTACGGAACAAGTCATAAAGAGAAAAGAAGAAGCGACTGCTCAAACCTAAAGCATCTCCAGTTCAGTGATATGAATTGCATCTAATTTAGTGCTGTGCAAAGATAATGTGTTGTAGTGCCCTTCTGTTTTCTTCCCAGTTATACACTATTAGAGCCTTTAATCTTTTCTCACAAAAATTTCAAACTTTCATTCTTAACAGTTATCGCTGGTTTTCTGTTAATTCATGCTTCTCTGTTTAGAGTTTTCCTTCTGAAACAAAACATAACACAAAACTAAAAACCTATACTTTATAAAGCAATTCAAATTAGAGGAAGAGTTGACCTTGTCACTTAGGAATTTTAGACATAACCACTTGACGTTTCTAAAGTAGAGCAGAATTTGAGGTTTTTTGTACACATACAGGAAGAAAAAATGCAATTATTTGAGAAAGAGATGCATTTAAGTATGGAATTGTGGGAAGGATTTATTGATTTAGTAGGGAGTGCCTGCATTATTTATAGATTTTCCTCTTACTGTAGGTTTTTTTTGTTTGTTTGTTTTTTTGTTGTTGTTTGTTTGTTTGTTTGTTTTTGTTTGTTTGCTTGCTTGTTTTTGTTTGAGCTGCTTGGCCTCCTTCAGTTGTATGCTGATTTCTAAAGAAACAAGGCTGTCAACAGGTTTGGGCAATTAGAACTCAAAATTGCCTGATACTGAAAATCCATTTTAAAAGGGGGCAACTTTTATTTTTAAAATTTACTTAGATCTATGCAGTATCATATGGAGAGCCAGAAATAGTATTTATTATATTATACAGCAGAACAGGAATGATCTTTTAAGCTACCCTTTTTACTATATAATGGTTTCTCTGAAATGCGCTTGGTTCCAGTTGTTTTACACAGCTCTAAGAGACTTTCTTCATGCATATGAAGATGATCTTTGCCATTTGACATTTTTTTTCATAGTGAAATCTGTTAATTTTATCTGTTGTTATCTACCATGGCTGCACTCTCAAACTGATTTGAACTTCTATATTTTGCATTAAGCAATTGGGAGGGCCGGGGGGTGAGGGGGTTGCATGTTTTATTTTGTTTTTAAAGTTTTAAAATGAGAATCCTAATTTGATACTTCCATGGCCATTTTTATTCCACAGTTTCCCATAGGGCAGTAATGTTGGTTCTTCTACTTGAGGGTAAGTGCCTGAAAAATGTATGGTATTTTGTCACTAGCATTAATCAAGCTACAGGTATGATAGGCAGAAGCTAACTATTAAAGAAGTTTATAATTGTCAATATATTGCCTGTATGAATCCACTGGAAGCTTCACAGTCCACCCTAAGCTCCAGGTATGATTTTAAGTGTCATAACAGTTCTGTATTTATTATTTAATACATGAGATAATTATCATTTACCCTATCACTGTAATAGGTAGGAAACTAATGGGAATAGGAGAAAACATATCTGCAGCTTAGCACAGGTTTCAAATCCTACTCTTCCTATAGCTAAACACAGAGAGAGAAGCCATGTGCATCATAATACTGAGAATCCACTGAATTTTATAGCAATTGCAGTCTCATGAAATTCACCTGCCCTTGAGGCTCTGAGCCAGACATGCAACTGCTGTGGAACTGCACCAAGGATGAGGCTAGAAATGAAGTATTTCCTGTGGCACACAAGTGACTGTGTTTTCACCAGGCTGTATTGTAATTTAACACTCCATTGACTCTTATCTGCTGTCTTGTGATAAGGAATCTTTCTCTCTTTTTTTCCCTTTTCATTTTCAATGACATTTTGCAGTATTTACTTTGAACTTCCTTTCCTCAGATGCCCTGACTACCATCTACAGCAAGCTAGTTTGTTTCCACTTTCAGCAGCATGCTTTCAGTCCATCAGTACTGAAGAATATTCCAGTCATCACACAAGCAGCCATGTGGCTTCAAAAGACAGTGGTTCAAAACTCCTCACCAACTGCTATTAAATTCCCTATATCTTTAACCTGACAGACCTCTCCAATGTCCTACAGGTCTGTATCATGGGTTATATTTTTACCTGAAGACATTCTTTTATTGCTGTTCTTTATTATTCAATGAGATATATCCCTGTGGACCAATTTGAAGAATGGATGCTCTTTGTACAACAATAGTCCATACCCTGAGGTGATTATGCTCAGGTATATAGAAAGCTAAGATAGAAAAGATATTTAATGAAAATAGAGTAATGGTTTGCAAATTTCATCATGCTTACTTATTATTTTGACAACAGAAGGTCAATTTCTGTTCCAAGGGAAGAGCAACTTTCTGGACACTAGCCTCCCCCAGAATAGTTTTCTTGCCTGCACATCCCTTGGACAGAGTGAACAAGGAGGCATGGATTTGTCAAGTCTCCTGATAACATTGCCCATTGCCCTGTAGAACACATTTTCAGT